CCCTCTGTTAATGGATTTTAGGGGGGGGGGGGGAAGGCAGGAAAAGGGGAAAAGTGTTGTGTGCTGTAATGTATTATTTTGTGCTCAGAATCTCTTGCCTATTTTGCAAGAGTATGCTTTTATTAAGTTAAATGTTAAAAGGAATAATTTTATATTTGTACTAATTGACATTAAAATTTATTAGATGTGATGCCACTCAGTAATTTTTTGTTTGATAGGCTATTAAATTTTTTAAATCTTGATGTTCTGAAAGGAAGCTGCTGAAAAGGAACTGGAGGGAGAAAAGCAGTAGCAGAAACTTGCTTCTGCCAAATTTCCCATGGTGTAGGGCAAAGTTATTAAGTTTAATCTGAAATGGGTATGTTAAGAAACTGGTTTGCATTGCACATCCCCAGTTATGGAAAATATATGAATAAAATCTGAACAGTTATATGTGCCAACTCTATAAAGGTTGCACTTGTGCAGTGTAAACGACCACGGTCACCTAAACTCCAGCTTTGGGTAACGGGGGAAGGATTTAGATGTTTTATTCATCTTAATGTGACTTTCCTGTGCTTATGCTGAGATACAGTCCGTATGTTGTTGAGTGTGTTTGGGAGCCTGGACCTTAACAGTTGAATTGCACTGTGCTTTTGGCTAAGTGCATCCTCCAAGAGGAAGGATAAACTGTTGGTGAGTTTCTTGAATATTAATCCATTTATTGCTTTGCATTTCCAGTCCCATCTTCCACCTGAAAGCATCAGTGTGTGAACTACAAATGTTAATTAAGTCGGTGTGTCTTTAAACAGGCATTAAACACTTCAAGCTTTCACTATGGAATTTTAAAGTTTTACAATTACCAAAACAAATACTTTGTAAAAAATTTAAGAGCATAATTGTGCTTGCTTCATAGCCATATCTTCTAAATGGGGTTTTAATCTGCAAATTTGGCCTTTGATTCACCACTAAATGTCCATGATAATTGCATATTTTGAATGTTTTTTTAGTAAATTGAACCCTTTAGAAGAAGTGTGTAAAGGGAGCTTTTTTAAAGTAGCTTGAGCTACTCCAAGTTTTTGCCTTACCAATCCTGAAATTTGTCGCGTTTTTAGTTCTTCCTGGGATCAGTTTTCACTCTCCTGAAAGAGCTTGATTAACACTTCTTATTTCTTGATCTTTTAGACTTTAATGAAGTGTCTTTAATTCACCTGAAAGGTCTTCTAAATGCATTAGAAACTAAGCTGATTGCTAAATTTTCCCCCTCCACCCTCCAATACAGTGAGCCATCAAGAGTTTCGATTTAATAGCCTAGAGGCTTCTCACTTGGGAAAGGACGATTTGGAAGGGGGAAAGGGAATTTTCTCCACTTACGCTGTTCCAAACCAGATGCAGTCTTAAATCCAAGAGGATCCAGGTTGACATGTTGGAAGCAAACTTGCTGGGGAAAGCGAGATGTTGAATTACAGGCTGACGGTTCGTTGACAGTCATGCTGCGTCTTCCCTGCATTGTATAGTCACTATGCAAAGTGACCAAGAAAGGCACACCATTCATTCAGCTGCCTAGCTGCATCTCAGAGCAGTGGTGTCCTGGCGTGGCACTGAGAAGGTGTGTGGTGGGGGGAATTCCTTCAGGTGTCTCCTACCCTCCCCCTAGACAGGAAAGGTAGGGATGCTTGAGAGCAGGTTCACAGATAACCTGGCCATGGCATGCTCAGGGATTTCTTTTCCACCAGAGTTATCAGACAGGAGATGAGACATGGGAGGCAGGAATTTGGGTGGAAGTATGTCCCCTCCTGTATCTCAATATCCCTGTTGTCTATCAAAGACTGATTTCAACTTTGCTTTCCTTAGCCCCACAAAACTGCTAATGGGAGAGGAGAGAGGGGAAGAAGGGAAAGCACAGCACGGGGCTGTTGTAGGCCCTGTTTGTCGACTTTTTTTTTTTTTTTTTGAGCAATCTCTATGTGGAAGGGAGGGGTGGGTTTTTCTTTTTAGTTTTGGGGGGTTTTTTGTTTGTTTTTGTTTTTTTCTCTTGACAACTGCAAAGTAGTCTAACAGTCACCTGGCAAGCAGTTTAGGATAGGCAGGGGCAGGGAAGGAGATGTAATCACACATGCTGGAGTTGCTTTATGCTGATGCAAGATCTCTTCTTTCTCATTATTCCCTAAAGGCTCAACTTTGCCCTTCTCCATAAAGCTTGCTTTGGGATCTTTAGGAACGGCCCTGAGTGTTCCTGATAGCAAGCCCTAACAGAATCCTGCCATTTAAAATTAGTGAGGCTGTCAAGTTACAGCTGAAACTTTAGGAGTAAAAACTGAAACATTTTCATTTTGAGTGTCCCAGGAGCCCTGAACTAGTGAACTCCAATGTTTTCATCAGCAGATTTAAGTTACAGGCATGTTTGACACTGCCATTAAAATACATGCTTGCCAATTAATTCCTTAGCCTCACCTGTCTTTAAATGCATAAACAGAATATCCACATCAACAAACTGTAGGAATGGTGGAGAATATACAGATAAAAGACAATACTGGACAACTGGTTCAGTTTTGTTCATAGGGCTGCCACACCTTTGGTACCATTTTCATTTCGATGCATATGACATAGTTTACAAATCTTTCCTTAAAAAGCCACGCTCAGGTAAAATGGTCAAAGTTTTTAACACTGTTATCTATTACATGATATAATTACTATGTAAATTGAAGTTTAAAGAGTACTCCCCTTTTTCAGTGGAGATCCCCACAAGATTATAGGTTGTTTTCTGAAAACAAACCTTTGGACAGGAAAATTTATACAGAAGTTTCAATACTGCATAGTAAAGACTGTAGGAATAAGGGAAGTTTCAAGTCCCCTGCTTTCACCCTCAGTACTACTTCTCTAATACAGGCAAATTCTTTTCTCCTTTAACATAAACCACAAAATTTGATTTAAAAAAAGAATCATCAATCTATTTAATATAACAAAATAAGTTAAATAATTACTCTTAGAGATATTTGGCTGTTCTTATTTAGATTACAGGTAATCTTTGGCATTTTTAACAGGAAGGAAGATATGGCTGGAACATCAGTCTTTTATGGTCATCGGTTAGAGTCATTGCTGGAATTACAGAAGAGTAACAAGATAATCCTGGGCTGGGAGGCAACAGTAAAGCTGGACTTGGCAACACTGGCTGAAGGGACTGAGCTGGAACAGAAGGTAACAACAAGGCAGGGCTTGGCATAGCTGGGTGAAGGGAAACAGCAGAGGTAGAAGAGACATTGATGTCCATCCCGTGAGAATAGCTGGAGGTAGCAATGTCTGGGTAACAATGATAGGGCAAAAATAAGCCTGAGAAAAGAGCTTCCACCCTGGCATCATGAGTCTGACGTTTAAACTTCATACGACGATTCTGAAACCAGGTTTTTATCTGAGGATAAGAAAGAAAGAGTCAAGAACCAACCCACTTGTCCGTTTTCCGTATAGTAATGCATCCTGACGGCAGACTTATTATTCAAGTGACAGACTATATTAACAGTTATAAGATTTAGGGCTAATAACGTTGATCTATATTCAGTGTAGAGTAATTGCCTAGGCATGAGGAGGAATCAAGCTGTGACAACTCCGTGATTCACAGCAAGCCAGTCACTCGGAGATCAGATTTGGACCAGGACTGTAGCTCAAGACTGGTGCAGTGGGATTACAAGGGCTGTGTAGGGCTAGTTCTGTGCCGAGAGAATTCCTGCAGTACTGCTAAGTATATACGTAACTTTAAGGAAGAACTAGCCTGAAAATGGAAATTCCGGTGATTGTGCCAGTACTTTTACCTCCGGTGAGGTTTCACCTTTTAAGTTTGCGTTCACCGTTTTCCATTCCCGTATTGCCTCCGGTTTAACACAAGACAGGGCTGTGCCGGCTGAAGCGGGGCTGTAAGCGTGCTTAGGCCTGCTCTCTGCCAGAGGGGTAAGGCCGACAGGCAGCCTGACCCGCCGCGCCTGTGGGACCTGTCGCTGTCCCCGTCCCCGTCCCCGCGGTGATGCTGAGGTGCCCGCCGAGGCAAACACGGGCGGAGGACGCCCCTCCTCTCCCGCAGCTTTTAGGAGGGGTGCGAGGGCCGAGGCCGCGCGGGGCCCGTCTCCCCCCTGAGGCGGAGGGCAGAGGCGGGCCCGGGGCGCCGCGGCCGCGCTCACCTGGCTCTGGGAGAGGTTCAGCACGGCGGCCAGCCGCCGCTTCTCGCTGGCGCCGCTGTAGCGCCGCTCGCGGGAGGCCCCCCCCCCGCCCCGCCCTCGGCCTCGGCTGCAGCCGGCAGCCAGGGAGGCTGGGAAAAGGGAAAGGGGTTTGTGCTGCTCTCACCAGGGCTGTCCTCAGCCAGGGCTGCACTG